GCCTACCAAAGGAGTACACATGGGGTGACATGGGCTGAAATGAGACATAGGGTAGAATATGCAGCTATGTATAGTCATTAAGAATATTAAACATGACTACAAATTTTGTGTGAATTGACAGTCATCCACCTTTGATAGTATTTCATCAATGGTGGTTCTTGGACGTGGGGGCCCTTACGGGCTATTTTTGTTTCATTAAATTCACTTCTTAAATAAATTAATCCAGTAAAAGTGTGAAAGGTCACTTTCTTCCATATAGAAGAATACTTAAAAGATCAGGACTTGAAATGTATCAAAATATGGCCTATCTCTGCCACTGCAAATCCCCCAGTGTAAAATCTCTAGTCAACTACCAGTGCATAACTGTATAGTATATCTAAGTTCCACTGCTAGTAGCCCAATAAAAGGCTGTGTAGTAATATAATGTTTTTCAATAATGATATATGCTGGTTTATAGTATTAATAACTAGTTACTACACCATTTATTTTTGTAGGAAGGAGGCTGATGGAGCAGGGTGCAAAGATGAGCCCCAGTAAGATGAGTGGTGAAAGTGAAACTAAGTCAAATATCACTACTTTCCTTTGTAAAATCATCTGAGAATTGTGGAGAACCAACCAATAGTAATAAATTGCTACCTACTTCATTGTCTAGTTGTAAAATTGCAGAGGCTGTAGGGAATGAAGATGAGATAAATGCAATTTATGTAATGGGTCTAAGCAACTCATCAGTCGAAACAGAACCCGAACCTCTGGATATTTCTAAATCAGTTCATGAGCTACCATGCCAACCAAAATTGCAAAGTTCTCCAAGTTCCAAGTTTGACAAATTAAGGAGACAGTTTAAGCTCTGTGGTATAAATATAACTGGCTGGAATATAGCCAAGAGAAAGATGCTGGTTTTCTTTTTGTAAACCTTGCCGATTTTGCAGTTGTTCAAGTTGTGATCCTACTTTTGTGACAAATGGTTTCCAAAATTGGGAGAAAGTGTGAAAAACATGAGAATTATGTTGCACATAAAACTGCTGCTACAAAGCTCAAGGAGAGAAATCGAATCTTAAGTCTGGATGTGGCAGCATTTGAAATCAAGTTGACCCAGTAAATTCCAATTCTCATTTTGTTGAGAAAAACAGAGAAGTACTGAAAATTGTACTAGATCTTGTGTTTTTTTGCGCAAAACAAGAAATTACTCTTAAAGGTCATCATGAAGACCTTGAAAGCTTAAACAAAGGGAACTTTCTGGAGCTAATCGGACTTGTTTTCAGACGTTCACCCGATTTTCGAGAAAAATATCATAGTCTGCCAAACAATACTAAAATGACAAGCCCATAAATCCAGAATGACCCCCTAGAATCTGCTGTCAGTATTCTTTTAAAACAAATTCGTAAAGATGTCTATGCAGCCAGTTATCTTGCTATAATGGAAGATGAATGTAAAGATGAGTCCAAGCGAGAAATTGTTTTCGTATCTTTGCGATATTACCAGAGAATAATTAAACAACTTACTGTTGGCTTCATTGAAGCAAGTGATCTCACTGCTGCTGCTATCTCAGAAAAAATAACGCAATTGCTGTCACTTTTTCAACTAGATGGAGAGAAGTGCATTGGTTTCCCACTTCGTGGAACTAGTGTTAAGAATGGAGTGCAAGCCATTCTAAAACAGAAATTTTCAAAAGACATTGCTATCTCCTGAATCTGTTTATGAATTCAGCTTGCCAGTCTAACTGTGAATTCAGAAAAAAAAAAAGTTATGTACACTATCAAATAGTTTCTTCACTGGGTCAAAGCAGCCTGCAAAGTTCATGGATTTGCAAAAAGAACTGCACCCAGGTTCACAGCTGCATGAATTGACACGTTATTGTGACACCAGATGGACATCAAGGTCAGCGTTGGCAGAGTGCTGAAATTAATTGATGTGATTATCAATGCTCTTGATTTTTTTAACTGACAGAGATTTGGAGACAAGTACACAAACTTAAGGACTCTCCTCGCAAGTTGCAAATAATCAACTTATATTTTTGTTAGTGGCATTCAGCAGAATTTTCCAGTGCACAGATGAAGCAACTATCAGCTAACAAAAGGATACAGTTGCAGTGGATATGACCATCGACCTTCTTGACATAGCAAAGGATACTCTGAGGTAGTTCCGAGAAATTTACATATCTGGCTTTGATAAAGTCCTGCAGTTTGCTAAAGAGCTATGCATGAGATATTTAATCACACAGTTATCTATTAGGCCTACCAGAAAATGCAAAGTACCTAGATATCTTTCTGGGACTGTTGTATTAGAAACAACTGGTTACAGGAATGCAGTTGTAGATGGTCATAACAATTTTAGAAGATTGTGGTACTGTGTCTTGGATATTATAATTAGAAAATTGGGCGAGCGTTTTTGGAAAAGTACAAACAGATATTATGACATGTGCTGATGCATGCTGACCAGAAGTTTCAAACTTCATGCTTTTGGACAAACTGAGACCAGTATGTGAAAAAGCAAATGTAAAGATAGAAGCAGAGGAGATTTTGATCTTTGCTAAATTTATAAAAAAAAAAAGACTACCCAGAGAGGAGGAATTCTCATGTTTGCTTTCTATGTTGCCAGTTATAGACAGTGACATTTTTCCAAATATTTATAGACTTTATTCTTATTTGGTTATGTTATCAAAGACAAGCTGTACAGCAGAAAGAATGTTTTCTACAAGGAATTCAGTCAAAGTCAAAGCTCAAAAAAGCATGCTAACAAAGCACCTTTCCAATCTATCTTTGCTTTCATTTGAAACTGAGCTTCTTAACAGCCTCAACTACAATGACATCATTGACGATTTTAAATTAAAGCCAAGGCATTTGGTTTTTGTTTTTGAATATGTACTGATATTATCCAAGCACTGGAAGTTGTTTTAACTTTTCAGTACTCATTAAGTATTTAAAGCTGTGTATATTGTTGTTTTATTGTGTTCTTTGAAAAGTGTTAATTTATCTTATCGTTAGCTATTTCAGCAAACTATTTGTTCCTCAAAGTCACAATACATTAGCCTTAAGCAGAATCCATTGCAAGGTTGTTCTTCACACTTTTCCAGGTTTGTAGCAGCTTCTTGGTTCGCTTTCTGACAGTCTTTATCAAAAGCATATCATTTTAATTTACAACCTTTATCCATCCAGACTTTCGGATCCCTCACTGAATGTACACATTTCACATCCGCTCCACCAACAGTAACTTATGAATATATTATTCGGATCATTATTGATTTTTTAATTGTCTTGTTCTGAATACAGTCAATGAGTTCCACCTCCATGAGGCTTGTTTTCTGCTAGGGAAATTACTGCGTAATTGGAAAAACTGTTATTTTGTTATTTCAGTCTCATGATTGACATGGCAAAAAAAGCGATATTAGCGTGTTTACACCACTTACACTGTAATTGTTATCATCAATTTTTAACCGAATAATTATACTAATTAAAAGTCGAATTTCCTAGTTTCTACCACTTGCAACCACTCATAATGTTTACTACCCCCCCCCCCCACCAAAAAAAAAACAACAAATTATGGCTGGCTACTCAACTTTTCAATATTTTCGACCGTAAACCTAAAAACAACAGTGTTGGCCTAACCGACAATAAATCAATGGAAGTTAAAGTCAATTATATTGTATAATTTCATGTTTTGCTGACTCGGCACTTTTTACTGGAAGGTTAAGATATACACTGTTTGTTCTTTTTATCGTAAATAAAAGAAGATCATGTTTTTGGATGATGTATCTGTGTACGCCAACATTTAAGTGCATTTAGTTGTAATATAATGCCGATTTTTTAATGTCATCAAAAAGATAACATAGGCCTTGTTCGCGATTGCCCCATTTCTAAAAATATTCTCTGGGCCATGGTCTACAACTATGCCGGATTCCATGCTTGTACGTATAAACTCACAAGTCCTACACATTATTGCTTCACTATATGTGGTTTTATTAAGACATAAAGTAAGCTGGAACATGGAAATAGAATATACAGTATTTAAGTACTAATATGGACTTTTCCACTTTTATGAAATGCCAGATTATGGAAGGTATAAGGAAATTGTGAAATGTGACCTATTTTATAGTAACTGATGACCTGTATATTAATATGTAAATTAGACATATTTTCCAACAGTTTTGTACCAAAGAAATTGAGAAAACCGGGGTGGGGGTATTTCGTTATTTGTGTACGGGGGATGCATACACTGTGTTAAAGTATTGATAACTTGTTTTATATGCCAGTAATGACATTAAAAGTTCAAAACTTGGCCCATATATAGTGCTTTCTTTCCGATTTTAACATAATGTGGGCAAAGACGCTGCCATGTTTAAAGCGCCATAAGCCCTGAAGGCATCTTCAATATTTCAAATTTATAGATATTATAAGATTTTATTCTTCCAGTTTCTCATAAGTATAACGATATAGTACTTGGAAAGGAAACGTGAAATGCCAAGATCGTTATCAAATAGCTGCCATTTAAATCGGTAGAAAGGACATCAGTTTTGGAACTGTGTTAATATTGTGCCTGGGAAAGACAGAAACACACACACACATACTTAAAGTTATATATATAGATAAATATTCTGTTACTTTTTTCTTACGACTATTGCACATGTATTATGATTCATGTTGACAAGTGCAGAATATATATGTTGTTGTAATTGTATCTCAAAGTTGCTTGATATGGACGTGTTTAGTTTGTATAATAAAGTTACTTTGTCTAGTTCGTTTTTGTTAATGTTGTACTACTTATACAGTCTCATGATTTTTTTTTCTCGGTGTTGTATATTAAGTTTATTTTCAAGTTCTGCAAGATCTTATGAACCACAATATCATAAGTTATGCATTTAGTTACGCATATTCTTAGTAGAATGTTACTTATTCTTTACTTGTTTGCTACTTATGAAATGTTAGCTTTCCAAGTTTTACCACACATACAAGTCAGTATTTTTTATGCGTTTTTTATTATTTTTAATAATTCAATTTTGTTGTCCTATACAACCAAAAATATATTTCGCAACTGTCTCTTCTTGAAGTATGAGATACCTTTCCTCTCTTAAGATCAGTTAGCTAGGCGAAATGCTAGTGCAGAGGTTATAATTTATTGTCAGTTATCCGCTCCAAATGTGTCCCCCAGTGGGTCAACGGTAAGTTTACGGACTTACAACGCTAGGATCCTGGGTTTGATTCCCGTGTTGGACAGAGCGCAGTAGCCTATTGCAAAGCTTTTCGCTAAAACAACAAAAATACTCTACAAATCGATCCTTTTAAGTATCATTATATTTTTCAGTATGTGAATGCTTCCGTGTTTGACTTTGACCCAAACCTTAAAAAGTGTGTGCGTGTATGTAAATATCACTAGAAGGAGAGATCGACTCCTGACGTTCACATACTTTGGCAATATAAACTTTTCACTTCAATGCACATAGTGTAATATTTTGTTCATATTGTGAGTTTACCTCATTGTAACACTCGTTATAGGTCAGCATCGTCAATAGTAAACGTATGTACGCACTTGTATGTGAATTTCTTATACTTATAGGGTTACGTGGAATTCTATCAGCTAACTGTTAAGACTATGAGTTTTGTAAAGACGCTCGTCACAATACAATGCCCACCCCTTTTTATATTAGACCGGTTTCTTCGATTCACGTAGGGGAAGTGTGCGACTTGCTTTGGCTGTTAACAGACCTTGTTAGCTTGAAAAAAAGAAAGAAAGAAAAGGCCGTAATATCGATCTGTTTGTCGTGCGATAAAACATATTGATTATCTGTCAGTATTCTGTTTCGACCAAACTTCTTCGTTCTCCGGTAGATTTAATTGGTATAAGTGGATTATTTGATTAGTTGTGTGTTTCACCACTATCTAGCAATCAAAATGCAGGTAGGCTTGCCAAATAACATATGGAGTGGTGGAAATGAGTATGTCGAGTCTTTGCCGGAGTCGTCGTCGTCTGAGGATCTGGAGTCTGTAGTTGCCGACAGGCATCTTTCCCAGTCACCAATCATACAGGAAACATCTTATAAAAAGTACTTAAAGCTTGTGTCAGGTGTTGAGAAAGGTGATACTCTGGCAGGTAGTTACTGAATTGATTTTGGTAATAAATCACTAAATGGAAGTTCTTACATTAACATGAATTTAATGAAATAATATATATATATATTGCAAAATTAAAAAGTAACTTATCAGATAGAAATACTGACATTTTCTTTTCCTATTTTTCAGACAGACTAAAATAACTTTACCCTTTTTTCTAGGCTGCTACCATGCTAAAAGTTGGGTTGGAAAGGGAAGTGGAGGATCATTATTAATTATCTTTGATCTAGTTGGGTTGTCTTTCTGGTCTCCAGAAAATTGTAAATGGTAAATTTCTAATAGGAAAGAATAGACAATTACCCTACAAAAATTGCAAACAAATTCCTGCTCTATTAATATATTTTTGAATTACATAGACGCACGTTAATGTTACCATGTTGAAGCTAAGTTCAGATTACTGATAGTCAAATCAGTTTTATAACCTATACCCTCATTATTTAATCATAATATATATATATATACATTCTTTCATATAAAATGGAATTTGCCATGTTATTTTATACGTGTATTCTTATCTTGTAATTTTTCTGTATTTAAAATTTGAAGACTTTGGATTTCAGAGAACTATTATGATGCTTCAGAGGAGACAAAGGGGTATGTTACAACTCCTGACAGTGGAATCCATGACTTGTCAAACATGGACACAGAACTTAGAGCCAAGATGGAGGAGGAGTGGAAGGAAGAACTAGCCAAGGTAAAGTACCCCAATTTTGATGCTATTATCATTGGGGTTAGTTATTTATCAATGTGTTAATTTTTTTTTTTTCATGTTTAAAGTAATCATTGTGAGGAAATGGTCCATCATTGTCTTAAATGCTCGAAAACAGAAAGATGAAATCTTTTACATGAATTAAAATCTTCCATCAAAATCTTTCTTTCAGGAATAATGTTTTTATTTTAAAGCTTTAGACAGTGTGTTGACATGTGTAATAGTTTCATATGGACTGCTCCTGTCTACATTTGGAAATGACATTTTGGACTTGGTTCTGATGAAGAACTCAGCACAGAGTCCCTATGTCTTCAAAATTAGGTAGAACTAGTACTAGTAATAGTTGATGTGAAACAATATTTTTTCTATATTCTTCATTTAAAGTAAAGATGTGATAACGATAGATCTTTCAGTGCAGAAGAATTTATGGTTAGATAATTGTTATATAATAATTTTATTTATTTATTTTGAAAATAAGACCATTGTAAGGTATTAACTAATTAATGGTTTTATTGACCTTTCTGGTAAGTATAATTTTTATTCTTTGTGTAGAAGGATAACTACGATAAGTTAATAATTCAACAGTGTTTTTTCGCTAGTGTACATATTGTACATAATCAGAGAAGCATGAAACTTTAGTTGAACTAGTTAAGATAGATATTCTTAATTTATTATTAGTGGTACTGTGATGTATTATCACACATATTAATGTATTGTATTGTATTCTGCCAAGTTAGACATTATACACCATAACACTTGATGTTTCATAAATATATATTAATAAATTGTGTTTTAATGAAGACCGATTTTGGTAACCCAACTGGCCATGTTGAAATCTAGTATGAAACAAGACACCTTGTCAACAAATGACATATAAAAGATGAAGTGTAGTTGAAATACTATTATATGCTCTTTTTAGTAAAGCCCATATTGAGTAAATAAAAAAGGAAGTAATTAAAATCACTTATAATGTAATATCATGTATATTACCAACTAGTATGTTTTGTTGTTCAATGTTTAGAAGGAAGGTCATAGTGATATATATGCTCAGTAAGTGCATAACAGTGATATACTGTTCTCTTGTACTGTTATAAAGTACAATATTATGTTGTGGTAGTCATGATATCTTATTTATGTTTTGTCTATTTCATCCTCTATTTTGGTCACAGTTTTTTTGTCAGCCATAAAGAAGTCATATTTTAGGCCAAAATCCAGAAAAAAAAAACAGAAAACTTTGTTTTAGACTAAGAACTTTATAAAAACTATGAAACATTAACTGATAAATTCAAATAAATATTATTTTTTATCTTTCACTTTTCCACATAGTGAATATTTATTAGCTTATGTTATATGTATTTTTCAACCAAAACAAAGTGCAGTGAAATAAATCAAAAGGCAAAACCGAGTTTAACTACAAAGGTACTTGTCACATTTGGTATGCTAATTCTAGTTCTTTGTTTTAAACATATAAAACTGAGGTACTGGCTAACCGTTTCATGTATCTTTTAATTAAGTTCCTCATAGACAAGTTTGTTATAGCATTTAATGCTATTATTCAAATACAGAACTCTTGTGAATAATCTAATTTTTTATCTTAGACATTTTATGAAATATTTGTTATTCATATGCCTTGTTTTTGTGTCACACAATTCAAACAGATCTTTTCCTAGCATTTGTATGTTTTTGTTGAGAAACAAGATTTTTCTTAATTATTCATAAAGTAATCATTCATGTATCTTTACAGACAGAGGAAGAAATCATCACTTTACGACAGGTTTTGGCTTCCAAAGTTAGGTATGCTCAGGACTTGAAGCATAAGCTTGGAATAACTGTATGGAAAGAATTTAAGGAGGATATGCAGCAGGGCATAAAGAACATTCAAGAAACAGAAGTGTAAGTTAAAAGTTATAACCTGGTTGAATTCTATAAGAAATACTGAATTCTGAGTGTGGTTGATGTTATTGAATTTGTCTGGTTATAACTTAAGTTACTTTTCAAACAAGTATTTCAGAAGCAAACAGTGTAAATTGGTAGAGATATCTTACTTATCACCAATGCATAGTATTGGGAAAAATAGTTGTATTGTCCCTTTCTCTTAGTCTTTTGAAAATGTTTTGAGTGTGAATCAAACAAGGTTTGAGATTATATCTGGTTCAGAGAAAGTGGGATATGAAGAACTACAAAATGCAGCATATGCAGCTTGAAGTCTTCTTCTGCCAGTAATTTATGTTTAGTTATTTTTCAGTGAACATCAATAAAAAAAATTAAAAAAGAGCTTATTTGAACGAAGATTGGAAAATTACTCAACAAATAAGTGTTGTAATTGAATTATAGGTGTAGAAATGGTTTAAAAATGGAAGTAATTTACAGAAGTGAATGCATAGGAAAATTCAGAGAAAAGTATTTATATATTTAATATATTGCAGAAACATTGCTAAAACTAAAGAACTCGTCTAAAAGTTGCAGTTTGTTAGCTAGTGCTATGAGGGAAGTGTAAACGTGAACCTCAAGCAATCTAGGGTTAAGTTTAAAGTGTGTGGTTTTGTGATTTTATTACATAGAATCTAAATGTGTCCAAGAAAATGATAATCAGAGTGTAAAAAGTGTTGTTTTTCTAAATTAACAATCAGAAATTTGTTGTACAATATATAGATGCCATTACAAAACCATACTAGAGAAAAAAAGATAAAAATAAAGAAATTAGATCTTTAGGTATTCTTTCATTACTAGAAACAGGTTAATGTGATATGATTTTTATCTTTTTTTTTTCAGCTATCAACTCACCACCCAAACCTTGAAAACAGCCGGTGAAAAAACCACTAATGTGTTGGGAAATCTTGGAGCGAATGTGACCAAGAAAATTGAAGATGTGAAGTAAGTGTTGCAGTATTGACAAAGCATTCTCTTTAAGCCTTATTACAAAAATATTGAGAATGTATATATTTTTTAATGCATCACTTTCAATAGGCTATGAGTAAGATAAGTTCAAAATAGCTTTATTTAAATTTTTTATCACTAAATGCTGTCGGCAAGTTTTTTGTTTAATATCAGGTCTCATTATGGTGGGTAGGTTACAAAACTCAGTCTTGTAGTTGAAATGCTTTTTGTATCAGTCATTAATGAGATAGATAAGCTGGTGTTGAAGAAAAGTTCCCATCAGCTCTATTTTAAAACTGGGTGTAATTGATATTCTACAGTGGATGCTGTTTAGTAGAAACTTTTGTTAATAGGATGAGTTTAAACAGATTTTCTAATCACCTTGTGGATTTTGGATGATAGTTACATAAATAAGAATAAAAATACTAGTTTGTTAATATTATATACACCTGCATGCCTTTTTCTATTATCTATTTTATGAAAATTGCTAGTTTTTAACTTTTTGGAATGAAATTTTTAAGCTAACTTTTATTTGAAAACACGAATTTATGTTTTAACTTTCTGTATATATGGAATCAGTCATTTTGACTAATCTGGTAACCACCATGTAACAATGAAACTATACAATCTTTAATACTGAGTGTAATAATTGTATTTTCAAGAAAGTTGGCAAGCTTTTAGTAAACATCAAAAGTCTGTTGTATACAAAATCAGATTTTTTAGTAATTTATATTTACTAAACATTTATTTGTGAATCTACAAAGCATTTCTGAGTCCATCTGAGTGAAGGGTGATTTTACTGAGCCAGTCCGAGTGAAAGGTGATTTTCATGTTAATAATAAAAATACTTCTTTTCATCTTACAGTTTCATATTTCATTTGTACAACCTCTAGAATCCCACAAATGATTATCAAGTGTTTGTTTTTGTTTTTCTTTCAGAAACATTTTATGCTTTATCTCTTATTATTTTTAACCTAATTATAACTGTAGCAAAATCATCTATAGCAAAAGTTGAAAAGTATGTAATAAAATCTAAAGTACCATTTATTTTTCTGCAATGATTGCATATTCTAACAGACAATTAGAATGATTTATCCACTCAACTTTTCACAGCTGCTTTCATTTAATTTTCTCATTTTATTGCTCTTTGAATATTTAACTACTTTCATAAGAAATATATCACTTAGCAGGAATGTGAAGAACTTACTGTAAACAAAGTTTTGGATTATATCACATGATGTCCATCTTTGTAAGCTCCTCGTGTGTTCCTTGAGAAGTGGTCACAAAGGATTTTATTTGATTTTTTCATTAGCTTTTTTTCTTGTATAACCTTAAGTTTTAAATATTTACATTTTAGTTAGTTCTGTGAAAACTATATACATAAAAACCAAAAATGTACTATTTACCACAGCCCTAGGTTAGTTTACACTGAGGTGTTTACTTGTGTAAGCCTTCTTTTTTCTAACTGTGTTTGTTCTCTCAAAAGTAATTCATGTAGCTTTCAATTATACGTTTTAGAACACAAAATATTCCATGCACTAAAATAGAATGTTCCAAAACTACAGTAATTTATCTGGTTTTCTATCTAAGCTAGAAATAGGTTAAAAAAATTGCATCACTCTTCAGAGCACTAATTTCGGTCTACACACATCAAGATATACTTGTGAAATAGTGGCTTTCACCACAGTAACAAAACAGACTATCATTAAAACCACAGTTCAAAAAATGGTATTTTTATTGGTTATGAACATGTACCGTTCACAAGTAGGTGTGAGCAAATAAGTGGTTTCGAAAGTGAAGAGTTGGGTGGAACATCTGTGGTGGATGTGATAAATTTATAGAAAGTAAAGAAGGTAGGAGTATCTTATACATTCTGACCTGTCAATATACAAAATAAGTAGTTTGAGTATCTAATTTGTGGACATCTTGAAGCCCATATCAGGGAAGAAAAAAGTCTAACAACAATTCCAAGTGGAGGGGTAACATTATACATAGGAGTGAAGAATAAGAAGTTGTTTTAATATTTCCTTTCAAAATTAAGGAAGTAAAACTTAGATAATGATAAACTATGTTTTAATGCTAAGTTTATTGGCATAGTTTAATTATATTTTGAATGTAACTCTGAAAATGTTCTTAAAATGTGCACTTGAATCACCCATATCAAGTGTTAATGATTTAGAATTTCATTGGTACAATAATATCGTTATAAATTTTTTAGCATTATGTATTAAATTCATGACATGAGTATACATTTAATTTTTCAAACTTTACAGTAATATCTGCAGATACACTAAGAAAGGTGTCTAGGTTATTCCCTTAATTTTTAGTAAAAAATGTTCATATTCGTTTAGCAAAAGATCTTTTTGAAGTGCAGAATTTGAATTGATATCACCTAGTGAATTTATGTTGCTGTTTTAGAAATTTGAAGGTTTAGGTAAGTGAAAGATCAAGTTATGTGCACAAAATTTACATATTTAAAACATTTTCTTAATTCAAAATTTCATTTTCTCTTCCCAAGACATTCATCATGTACACTTTTTTAATAGGCTCCAATATTTATTATTTATATATATTTTTATTTCAGCTCTCTTACATTTTGTACTTTTTCACACAGCTAAGTTTTAGGAATCTGACCTAGTCTTAACATCATATCTAGGAAGCTTAAATTGAATTATACTTGGCTAGATCTATGTCACTGGTGTACCTTATTTTGTAGACATTTATTGAGAGGTTATTGTAGTGCAAATGTTGTGTAAGGAGATTACATTCTCAACTTGATTTTGCTACCTTGGTTAATGTTGTCATAACCTAGTCTGTAAACAGCTTGGCCAATGAGAGACATTTCTGTTTTCATATTTTCATCACGGTGAAGTTCACAGACAAAATGTAGATGTGTTGATGATGATAGTGATGGATGACCACCATTTACAAATTCTAACACATTGTTCATGGCTGTGTGTGTGCAGAATTTCAACTGAGTCACAGAGAGAAGCAAACAGATTTAAGACTATAGAACTCTAAAATTAGATAATTCTATATCTAACTGTATGATTAGATAAATCATAAAGATTTGTTAGTCCAGCTTGCTCACTCTAAATATTTTCATTTCATGCATAAGTAAGTTTTTCGGAGCTACGCATTCATTATATACAGTTTTTAGAATATTAGCAAGATCCTTGGTTGAGTGTGTCTGATGCTGCTTATAAATTAAAACAGTTTTCATAAGGTTTGATAAACATCTGTTTGAGATATTTAATATCTAATTAGGTAATTAAACATTGTGAATTAAGTAAAATATTTTATATAGTAAACTGGGTGGCACTATTGAGATTCCTGAAATATATGTGAGGAACATTTTAATCTAAACTAACATTTTGTGTTTTATGTATAATTGTGGTATTGCACAACTTTTAAACTAATAATAATAATTTAATAATCTCATTGCACGGTAATTAAACTATAATCCACAAACACGATGTGATGAGAAACAGGAACCTACAATATCTCGGTATAGAACAAAAAAAAGTGCTTTATCAAATGTAACAAGAGATGTTTCATTTTAAAGCTCCATCTTCTAAGGATCCATTTTGTTTCACAAATTCTATGCTCAGTTTGGGCATTAGAAGTAAAATAATAAATGTGTTAAGGTATTTTACTTTCAGTGATAGTAATGTTGAAAACATTAATAATAGTTATTAAATAGTTCATTCAGCTGATAATTTAAGATCTTAATGACAGCAATTTTACATACAACTACCATGAATTAATCATGCACCAAACCAACACGCACTTATATGTATATAAGAAAACTAGTACACACATTATCAAAAATAAGCTAGAGAGATAAGCAGCCACAGAACTGAATTGTTGCATAGTTGGTTGATGAATCATTTTCTGAATATTTGATGTTACCTTAGTTACTATAAGTAAGGTTGATGGTTTATTATTTTTATGTTTTAATCTTCCTTGTTTTTTAACATCTGTATAGAGAATATTTTAAAAACTTTGTTTACCATAGTTGAAACATTGAGGACTAATACTTATGCAATCCATAGTTCCTAAGTTAAAGACATTTGTTTTATTTCTCATCACTAACAAATTCTTTTTTTTTTTCAGAAAAATAAAAATGTTTTAACATTAAGCACTTGTATAGCATTTTATATTTTGTAATTCTTGTGAGGTAACTTTTATTATTGCATATAAATTACTACAAATTTTCAGAAATCATCATATATTCTTGGTATGAAGGTTTTTATGTGCATTTTAAAAAGTCTATAGTAGTCCATCATGAAAACACTGTCCGATTGCCCAAAAACTATCAAATATGTCAATGTATTCTGTTTGAATGGTTACAATTATGATTATATTTTAAGTCTAATAATTCAAATTACATGTGTATTTCCTAGTTTTCTGGAAAGTCTGCTAGGATCAGGAATCAATTATTTGTATTAATTTCAGATCTTTACCATCCTTCTTCAGTAATGTCATTCAACACAATGTATTTTTCAACTGAAAAAAACAAACTTGTAAATAACATAGTTGCCAGCAACATTTATTTAATATATTTTAAATTGTTTCTTATTGGTTTAATTTCTTAGAATAACAAGAAAGACAGTTAAAATTGCTAGTAGTAAACTATGTTTTTAAAGAAAGATTAATGACTCATCAATGGCTTTGTATAAAATTTCAAGTACCTCAAGTTGAGTTAGCATGTGAAGAATAGATGACATACATAAGGAGATTGATAGAGGTAATTGCACTCTCTTGGAGTATAACTATAGGCACTTCATACATATACCTTCTGCCTAGTTATTGAAGCGTAGCAGTGCAAGCTATGATAATTGGTAAAAAAGTTTATACAACTGTCACAATACACAGTTGTGCAGTGCTTCTTTTACCTCTCCCATAAACTTAATATCTGAGTTTTATAAAGTCAATACATACATCTATATGACTTACTCAAGTTTAAGTTATCCATAAGGTTGAGTAATAGAATACTTGAAACATATCTGCTTTATATATTTTTATTTAATATATATATATATATTATTAAACTGTTAAATTTTATATTTGCATTTATTGTTGGAATATTCTAGAAAAATTAAATGTTCATCAAAGTTTTACCATTACAATTTATAAGAACAATATAAAAGACAACATGAAAATTTATGCCAAATATATATATATATATATATAAATTCTGTGCATAGTTTACACAAGTAAAATAATATATGTTTGAAGTTATCTTACTTTCAATAGAAACTACTACAAATTTTCAAGCAATTTTACATACAACTAATCACTTGTATGTATACACTGATTTTCACTGTGTATATATATATATATATATATATATACACACTCACAC